TATTGTACAGTGAATAATATTATTGTACAGTTAATAATATTATTGTACAGTGAATAATATTATTGTACAGTTAATAATGTACAGTGAATAATAATATTGTGATACTAGGTGCCTGCTAATTACTCATAATTGTATATTGAAGGTAAAATATAACGTAATTATAAGAGAAAAAACATGTTTAAGGCATGTTAATAATAACTAACATTGTTATCTCAACATTAATGTCTTCAACAATAGTGTTTATCATGATTGTATTAACCGTGACAATTGTATATAACCTTGAACAACTCTGTATATAATACAGATGGCCATGAAAAGTTATTTACAAGGTCCGAATTTGTTTACAAAGTCCATGCATGTGTTACCCCAAATTTCTAATTTTACCCTAAAACAGTCAAATGGCAACAATAAAATTTGTCTTTACTGCAAGTTGAGCATGTGTTAATGCAGTCTGACCACTTTGACATGACCGCAACTATGCGCGACCTTCAACAAAACGTTTAGTTGATTTGTTTACATTACAATGTTTATGTTTTTTCTGCAAGATATTTTTGGCGGAAACGGTAAAGCAATGCGGATTGCGGAAGTTGAAAATTTTATGAAATGACATGTTTGCGAAGTGTAAACCGCAATTTTTCAATCAAACAAAAATTTATGACATTCGAGCCTCGAGATTTCATACCTACTGAAATTATATGATATTAGAGCCACGATATTTCAAACAAAAATAGGACTTTTCCAGCCCCTGTTTCATAATGGTGATACAACTCATACTTGGGTCAGGGCTGTCAGGCCACACTTAACGTGTTAAGGAGTTTGGTGAATTTAAAGCAACCATAGGGCATAGCATTCCTTAATAATAATAATATAATACTAGCAGTTTCAGAGTTTATTTGGCCATAGGCCGGTCGCCAATTCTTAAGATTGCAGAACATTCGCATTTTGCAGCATTTTGAGGTCTCGAACTAGCAACTCACTGCTACAATTCTGCTGTGCTTAACCCACTGTGCAGAGAGTGGATGAATATTGCAAGATCTTTGGCAACGCTTCAGTAGCCAAATTTTTGCCTTCTGAAGATCTTGCCGACACATTTAGATTGAAATTCTTGCATTTAATATATTTGTCAGTCTTTGGCCAACTATTTAGAAAAAAAGTAAGGTTTCCGGTACGTTGGATGGATTACGATGCAGCTGAGNACATTAAGGAACTTCAGGATCAGAAACCGTTCCAGGAACAAATCCTAGAAGACTAGTACTTACTAGACTTCTAGGATTTGTAACTAGAAGTCTAGTAGTTACAAATACTAGAAATCTAGTGGTTTGGCCTCTCAAGATTAAAAACCCACTAACACTTGCAACAAACCAGATATCAGCAGCTATTCTGCACCAACATTCAAGATATTATTGGCTAACAGTTCGTTTATGAATAACATTACAGCATTTCCTATGAGATTTGGATATTCGAAACACATAAGTAAAGTATTAATAAAAATTGCGTTAGTTAAAAGGTTAATTGATAATAGAAGAACCCACCTGTTAACAGGGGTTTCGTCTTCAAAGCGGCTCCGCTTGGTGGGGGGAGGGCCAGCTCCTCCTCTCCCCCTATACCGGCCCCTCCCCGAGTCTTCGTACTCTAGGATCACTTCAGGGTCTCTTTCTCCCCCGAACCTTCCCCTACCTCTAGGGGAGCTCAGCCTTCGAGGGCTGGGGAACCCTGGTCCATATTCAGTTCCCCGTCCTCGGCCACCTTCCGATATTCGGCGTCCATTTGCGTCCACCAGACAGCGTAGAGTTTCATCGAACCCTCGTCCCAGTCCCCCGGAGACGTCCATTGCACGCCCACGAATTCCAGGGGACACCGTTTCCGGTCGCCAGCCTCCAGGACCGTCTATTTCTCTTCCCCGTCCCTCGGGGCCATCAATTCCTCTACCACGGCCTCTAGGGCCATCCATTCCCCGTCCTCCAGGACCTTCAATTTCCCGCCCTCCTGGGCCTCCCATTCCCCGCCCTCCTGGACCTTCCACTCCTCGCCCTCCTGGGCCTCCCATTCCCCGTCCAAATCCTTCTGATCCGAACATTTCCCGTCCATGTCTCACAGGGCCATCCGCACCCAGTCCACATCTACCTGGTCCGTCCAAATCTCGTCCGCGTTCTCCAGGGCCATCCATATCCCACCCTCGTCCCCCAGGACCATTCATTGGTCGTCCAATTTCCCCAGGGCCGTACATATCCCGCCCACTGTCTCCCACTCCTTGTCCTCTAGGGCCTTCCACTCCTCGTCCTTCGGGGCCAGCCATTCCCCGTCCTCCTGGGCCTCTTACTCCTCGTTCTCCAGGGCCCTCCATTCCCAGTCCTCCGTGACCTTCCACTCCCCATCCACCACGGCCTCCCATTCCACGTCCTCCTGTGCCTCCTCGTCCTCTAGGGCCTTCCATTCCCCATCCTCCTGGGCCTTCCATTCCCCGTCCTCCTGGTCCTTCCATTCCCCGTCCTCCTGGGCCGTCAATTCCCCGTCCGCCTGGGCCTCCCATTCCTCGTCCTCCAGGGCCTTCAATTCTTCCCACTCCTCGTCTTCCAGGGCCTTCCATTCCCCGTCCTCCGGGACCTTCCGTTCCCCGTCCTCCTGGACCGCGCAGTCCTTCGTCCATCAAAGGATATGGGCCCCTATCGTCCATGTCGCCGCCACGACCAGCCATGAACAGCCGACCCTCTACGTCTTCTCCTCGGCCACGACCCCGAACTGAGGGTCCTCCGCGACCCCTATCGGCAAAAGCAGTGCGGTCATCTGCATCCACGTGTCCGTAAGGGTGGTCTCTTCCACGACCAAAGCCCTCACCGGGAGGAAATTCACCGCGTCCTCTTCCATCAGGAGCAAAGTCCCCGCGTCCCCTGCCACCGGGAAGGAAATCTCCACGCTCTTCCATCAGGAGCAAAGTCCCCGCGTCCCCTGCCACCGGGAAGGAAATCCCCACGTCCCCTACCATCGGGAAAGAAATCTCCACGTCCCCTGCCACCGGGAAGGAAATCCCCACGACCCCTGCCACCGGGAAAGAAATCTCCACGTCCCATGCCACCGGGAAGAAAATCCTCACGTACCCTGCCACTTAATTCATCGAATTTCCTTTCCTCCTCAGTCGGATAAAAACATCGTCCTCGACCAGGCTGCTCTCCATGAGGGCCAAACCTCGAGTTAGGATCCCCAGAAATAGGAGAGCTCCCGAAGCGGGAACCGTCGGCAACGGGGAACCCTCGTCTACCCCCAGAATCACCATCCCTGAGATCCTCGTCACCATTGTTACTCTTTGAATCCAAGTCCATATCCATGACCTGGATGTTATCCTCGTCTGGGGCGAGTCCATCAGACGTGGGGGAGTACACGATACCACGACCGCCATCTCCGATATGATGACCTCGACCTCTCGAGAAGCTGTCTCCGAAATTTTGACTCCAACGGCCCCTTGAGGAAGGATCTGCAAAACTGGGCGACCTTCGCATATCCTCACTGATCCGACCAGTTCCCAAAGGCCCTCCGTCAAAGTTTGGCTGGTTTTCAAAAGTTCCACGTCCCCTGCCGCGGAAAGGCTCATCTCTGTCCCTGAGTCCTATCTGAGGGGAGTCAAAACCCGAAGCGCGCCCTCCTCTAGAACGGTCAAATTCCAGCCCAGGCCTTCCTCTGCCAGGTCCTATATCAGGTACAGAAGAGCCACGTCCAGGGCGCAAATCGGGCCGGAAATCACCCCTTCCATGACCGATTTCCACCCCACGTCCTCTGCCTAGTTCAAATCCACCTCTCCCGGGTCTAATATTTGGTACTGGATCACCACTTTCAGGTCCTATTTCTAGACGGCGATGAAGATCTAGTCCAAATCCGCCTCGTCCACGTCCTACATTGGGTCCGAAGCCACCCCTTCCAGATCTTACATCAGGTCCTGGACCACCACTTTCAGGTCCTATTTCTGGACGGCGATCAAGATCTAGTCCAAATCCGCCTCGTCCACGTCCTGCATTGGGCCCAAAGCCACCCCTTTCAGATCTTGCATCAGGTCCTGGCCTTCCTCTGCCTGAACCCCTACCCTCATCCCAACCGCCATCTCCTGCCTTCAGAGGATTCCTTGAGGAACCTTCCATAGAAGGGAACGATGCTTCCTCCTCATCGTCTGGACTTCCTTGCTTGAAGCGGTCGAATTCTTCTTGGGCTCTCAGAAACGCAGCATAGTCGTCATCTTCAACTTCATCATCTTTCTGTTCCTTGCTACCACCAGCGCTTGGCCTCCCTCGGTCACCCACCAGTCCCCTTGCTCCAGTGGCATCACTGCCTCCACCGAAACTCTTTGGTGGTCCCAAGGGATGGCTGTCTCCATCGAATCCTTTTGGAGGCCCCCAGGGTCGGCCGTCGTCAGCAAATCCTCTCGGAGGTCCCGAGGGACGGCCGTCGTCATTAAATCCTCTCGGAGGTCCCGAGGAACGGCCGTCATTAAAACCTCTTGGAGGTCCCGAGGGACGGCCGTCGTCATTAAAACCTCTTGGAGGTCCCGAGGGACGGCCGTCGTCATTAAATCCTCTTGGAGGTCCCGAGGGACGGCCGTCGGCATTAAATCCTCTTGGAGGTCCCGAGGGACGGCCGTCGGCATCAAATCCTCTAGGTCTCAAAGGTCGGCTGTCGTCACCAAATCCTCTTGGAGGTCCCAAGGGACGACCATCGTCACTGAATCCTCTTGGAGGTCCCATTGAGCCATCATCAAATCCTTTCGAAATTCCCCCAGACCCAAGATCTCTACCATATTCTCCCAGGCGACTATCGGGACCAAATTTACTGTCTCTTCCTGGTTCTCTTGGGGACCCAAGGCGATCTCGCAAAGTGGGGCCTCGCGTCGAGTCAAAATCGGGCTGCATTCCCATTCCTTCACCTCTCACTGATTCGTGAAAAGAGCTTTCACCTCCCCCAAACCTTCCTGATGGCGAAGGGAGCCCCGAAGGTGCTATCGGAGGACGTCGCAGATCTCGGTCTGCGTTTGAAGAAAGATCCACAGCTCTTCTCGGACCTCTTGCAGCATCACCGCCATCGATTCGTTCATCCCAGTCTTCGAAGCGTTTCTGCCCACTCAACCCCCCATGGCTTAACGAACCTTCGTGATCCCCAGGACCCTCTAACCCTTGACGTCTATAAGCATCTGCGAACCCTTCATTAATGGGAGTCCTGTCATGTGGAGGTGGTCCGGAAGTCCTTCCAAATTGGTCAGGATATCCATCAAACCGACCCTTTTGTTCATCCCTCTTTGGAGACAGATGGGCAATATGCTTGGGATAACCCTCGGGAGGTTGTGACCTCTCATCAACCCCGCCAAACTTTTGAATTTTGGCACACCTGTCCCCTTCATTGCTAGGGTCCTCGTCCCCAGTGTAGGGATCGTGAGTCCGTTTTCCTCCAAAATCTCCTTCATCTCGTAGGGCCCCTGGCCCCCCCGCAAACCCAGGAGGGGGTCGAGCAATATTTACTGGTGCGGCATCGGAAGGTGGGAGGGGAGGGAGTGTGGAGGTGTTGGAGTGATCACCCCCAGCTCCTGGTGGGGGTTTGGAGAAATTGACATAGGGAGTATCACCCCCCATGCCAGGATACTGAGACCTTGGGTAGTTGTAGTTCTGAAACAATTATACACAATATATATAAGATTTTATATCTGTAATAGTTGTAACATTAAGTACGTATCACACAAAACCTTCCAGCATTGGTTAAAAATCCGTGGCACTGTTTTTACAGCCTCTATTCCTCCCTTTTACATTAATTTTTTTTAATATGAAATGACAAAAAATCTCAACAAATAACACATTATTGTACTATATTTTACTGAAACCTAAAGAGTCAAGCTAACAATGAATGCAATCAAGTCCATGTTTTTCAGCTATCATTCCAATGTATGAAGAAGAAAATTAACCTGGAAATTTATTTACCGTGGCTGGAGCTGCCGTCGCTGAGGCTCCATAATAAGGATGCTGCTGCTGCTGTGGAGGTTGTTGCTGCAGCTGTTGTTGCTGCTGCTGCTGTTGTTGCTGCTGCTGTTGTTGCTGCTGTTGTTTGAGAGCTTCAGCTTCCAGGCGTTGTTTATCAAGTTTTTCTTTATGTTCCTTCTTTTTCTGCAGCATTTGCTGGTGCTTATCTTTTATTTCCTTAAGCTTAGCAGCCTTGATGGAGTCCCGCTGCTCCAGCAGCTGCTTACGCCATTTGTTCCAGTCAGCCTCATACCTACCAGTCCAATAGACTTTAATGAGGGAATATCAACTATTGAGACCTCTGAGAAATATATCAATTATTGAACTATTGGCAGCTCTGAGAAATATNGTTAACAACATTTGACTTATTCTCAATCAAATTTTAATTACTTGATGGGTAATGAATACATAAAGAATAGTAATTCTTGGTTCACACGACTAACTTGGTGAGGGCCTCCTTGTCAGGATGGTCAGCATTATCCTTTTTCCACTGGTTGAACTGATCCTCCCACCCACGGAACTGCTCGTCAAACTCCTTCAGTTCAGCGTCCTGTGACTCGTCCAGCTCAGGCATTGGCTCCTCTTCTTCTATGGGCTCTTCAGGTTTTTGTGGAACTACTAGCAAATAACTAATAATTAATACGCTACCTAATCAGTTGTTATTATAAATTTTATGAAGTGATAAACTTGGTCTAGTGTAATGACCCAATATTTTCTGATATTTTTTTGAGCTGACAGTATATCCAATTAGCATCCATTCATTTGTTGCATCCATTATTTGATCCAATTCTATACATAATACAAGTAACCACATATTGATAATACATAATATACAAAATATGTGGATGCTTCAATGCAAATAAGCAAACATGTTGCTTCCTGCCTACTTCTCATGTTCAGCAATGATAAGAATAAAAATATTTTCAGTACAGGATAAGAATAAATATTTTACTCCAATCTGCTGACAACTTTGGTTCACAGATTCTATTTGGATTTGAAGATTCTATTTTGGTTCAAAGATTCTATTTTGGTTTATAGGTTAACCCCTAGAATTATATCTTAAAGTGTCCAGCAGAATTTTTTTAGTGAATTTCAACAATAACCATCACACTGATGTCCACTGAGACACTTATTACTTGCACTAAACATGTCCTGGCTATCCTTCACCTCATCTACTGATTCAAAGTATGTTTGAAATAGGAAAATTTATTAATTCCAGACAGTGAGCAATATTAGACAAGTAATCTAGGCTGGCAGAAATGTTGTTTTAATAATGAATTGAAACAAAACATATATTTAAAAAAATATAACTCAGTACTCACTGCAGTGAGTGACAGAGAGCACATTTTCTCATCAACAAAAATGTGAAGTCACGGATGGACAGACAGACAGACATGGCAAGCACAATAGTGTTTTTTTATTTATGAGAAAATATGCTAAAAATAATACTTGTTACATTGAAATGCAAAGACCTGGTGGCATTACCTGAAGTAGTTTCATTGGTAGGACCTGAGCTGGCAGATGGTGGAGGAAGAGCGGGAGCTTGAGCGGGGAGTGGTGTGGGGTTGGGGGGGACTGCAGTGGGGGTTGGGGCATACATAGCCCCTACTGGATGAGTGACCATCGATGGAGGGGGCATGGAAGGGGGCATGAAGTTCCCATACATCTGAAGGGATGAGAGAATAACAAGCTCAAACGGGAAAGTTTAGGGATTTTAACCTTCACATTGTGCCATTATTCAGAATTAAAAAGGCGAAAATCAAATCAATAAAATTTGGTCAAGGAATATATCAGTGATCACAATAAATGTATGATGAATCCAAATCCAAAGTAAGGCTACAAAGCCATATTTTTTTTATTGCAGTCATGCATTGACTTGATAAGCCCGAGAGAAATTTTTTAAAATACATGAAAATTAGCAAAGAAATTTTTTTCCACTGGTAACAGAAGAAACTGAAGAAAATTCTGACCAGTTTTCTGGCAGTCAAAAAATAAATTTTATACTTTAGAGTTGCAAGCTTCAGAGCCAGGTAAAGGAATTGATACCCTTCCTCACATTGTTCAACATAAAAAAGCAATAGAATCTCAATGATAATTTTGTCCATAGAAAGAAATTTCTAGATATCGCCCATATTAGAACTTAACATACACGTAAGTCAGTATAAAATTTTGAAAATTCACTTGGATATCAGCAAAAAATTGAAAATCTTTGCAATCTACATGATTCATATAAAGCCCAGTTGATGTCAGTCTTGTGCATTATTCAGTTGGCATGAGAATATTTTGAGAATAAACTGCTGCTCTTCCAGTGTAAAGAATTTTGAGTGTTTTATAACAATTTTCTTTGAAAGTTCACTACTCCAGAAAAAGATGCTTCTTGTGGAATAGAATAACATAGACTTCTAGAGTAATAATATTGTTCACATTGAACATGATTACATGAACATGTGATGTGATGTACCATTGGTAGCATGAACATGGATATTTCTCTGCTCTGAATATGTGAACATGAATGTATTAATCACCTCAACTAATATTTACAGTAATGAGTAATCTTCACTTGGCTATACAGTCAGCAAGCTTCACTGATGGATTGAACATGTATATGTGATATACCATCTGTAGTATATTTGCATATGAACATGGATATTTCTCTGCTCTGAATATGTGAACATGAATGTATTAATAACTTCAACTAATATTTACAGTAATCTTTACTTGGCTATACAGTAAATGGCTGCTGACCTGCCCCCACTGCAGCCACTGCTGGTTAGGAGTGACTGGCCAGGCCTGCTGGCCGCCGTACATGGTGGCCGCCCCCGCCTGGGAGTACTGCTGCGCCTGCTGCTGCAGGTATGTCAGCTGGGACTCCTGCCGTGAACCACATCAAAGAATAGATGAGAAAATTACAGCATTTAAATTACCCTAAAAAGTGATTGTCAATAAAAATTTTCACTAACAGGCAATTTGAGGCAAATGATACAATAATAATTAGATTCATTTGAAGACTTGTAATATGTTTGAAGACTTGTAGGGATATGTATCGAAGAAAAGGCAATGCCAAGCTAGTTCACCATATCTTCAATGAAGAGATTCAATGATCATGAGTTCAAAAACTATATTAAATATAAGTAAAATAAGAAGAGAAAATAGAAAGATATGTGAAAAAGATTAAAACAGATTTGAAAAATAAAAATTAAATAAACATTCATTGAAGATATGGGACAATTAACAGATTAAGTGCAGCACTGCAGCTATGTCATATTTCATAATGGTCATACAACTCACACTTGGGTCAGGCCACACTTAATGTGTTAAGGAGTTTGGTTAATTTAAAGCAACCATAGGGCATAGCATTCCTTAATAATAATAATTTAATACTAGCAGTTTCAGCGTATATTAGACTGTAGGCCGGTTGCCGATTCTTAATATCGCAGAACATTTGCAGCATGTTGCGGTCTCAAACTGGGTTCTCACTGTTACAATTCTGCTCTACTTAACCACCCGGCCTCCTTGCCGATTCAGACCAGAAACTGGCGCACAGAGCTGGGATCGAACCCGTGACTCTCTCGGGCTCTCTGCTCCAATCTTGGTACTCTGAACCCACTGTGCAGAGTGGATGAATATTGCAAGATCTTTGGCGACACTTCAGTAGTAAAATTTACGCCTTCAGAAGATCTTGCCAACACATTTAGATTGAAATTCTTGCATTTAATATATTTGTCAGTCTTCGGCCAACTATTTAGAAAAAAGTAAGGTTTCCGGTACATTGGATGGATCAGGATGCAGTGAAGCTTGTCTGAAAATCAGTTGCGATGAGTTCACACCAAAATATCCTAAGCAAATGTAAACAACAAGTTTACGATTACGTAGTTGCGGTCACATTAGAGCGGTCAGACTGCATTATCACATGTTCAGTTGACACTTGCTGCACAATCGGACTGTTTTTAGGGTAAAATTAGTTATTTGGGGTAACACGTGCATGCAACCTTGTAAATAAGTTGTGGCTTGTAAACAGTTTTTCATTACTCAGCATAAATGGCTTTTCATTGAAAATTACCTGGCGACGCATCTTGAAATTGGTTGGCAACCCTTTGGGCTTAAAAACCCATATATTGGCAACGCTGCTTCCACCCTCTGCACCCTGGCTCTGAACTTTAACCACTGGGCCACGGTACACCCTGCCTATCCTTGTAGTATATATATGTAGTATTGTTACAACTGTTAGGATTGTACAAGTTGATTGATATAATCAATGCTAATAAACATAAACTTAATAGTTTCAAGGTTAGGATGGGAAGAGCAGTTGTATGACATTCATAATTATGTGTCTATCCATGGCAAGTGTAGCAATTTTGAAAATAAGTAAAGCATTACTATCACCAATTTGGCAGATCAGTGAGGTGGTCACTGAGGTAAACACGGGATATTCCGACACTTTAAGGACGTAGCAAAAAATGAATGGCTATAAAAAAAACCATACGTGCAACTCGAGTTCTGTTTGCTTTACGTCACTCTCCAAACACTGCACTACGTGCCAGCAACAATGAAACGTCACAAAATGTTGCCATGTTTATTTAAAAGCCTTTAGAATGCAAACCTACCAAATCCATATATTCCGACACAGTGCGACACTGTGCGTGACTAAATTCGGCATTTTGTGAGACTAATTCCGGCCGCGCTTCAAACTCTACTAATTTGTAATTCCGACACTCTTGTGTTCAAATTCCGATCGCTGTGTGAGCTGTATTGGAATACAACACAGCTTGGAATTAGAACACTATTGAATATTGAATTCTACTTATTTAGGCTTTTAATTAAGAGCTATTAAGCTTTTAATTAAGAAAATTTTAATTTTTGCACACAGCTTGGAACGAGCTGTGTGTGTCTAATTCCAAGCACCATTTTAGAATAGATGTCAGGCAGTGATGGTAGCAGGTAGGAATGCCTAGTATATCTCAAAAGTTGCCTATTACTTAAGGTTACCTGCCTACATCCACAAACTTGGCCAAAAAATTTTTTGTCATTAGACAGAGCTTATTTCCCAAACAGGGTTAACTATTTTGTGACCCTTCTTTAGATAGGTTTTCTTTAAAAATTTGCCAGAAATTTATTATTTGCAGAAGAGGGTTAAAACAAACACTGAAATGACAGGCAATGATTGCTCTAACGTATTCTTTTATCAAATTAAATTCAGTGCAATTAGAATGCACGCCATGGGCCGGTCCTTTCTTACCCCATGAAGCCTGCGATCCTGTCTTACCCCATTTGACTATATAGATGCTATATGCCTGTTAGTGATTTTGGTCCTGTCTTACCCCATCTGACTACTATATACTTAAAGGATTCCTAATATATTCACAGACTTATTTAAAAGTCTCAAACCATAATATTCTTTCTACACAAACAGTTTATCACTATTTGGTAGAGCAAGGTCAACTATCAACTTTGACAATTTTTTCAATGTTCTTGCTAGGTGACGTGCACTGTCTCTCTTTGGATCTCAACATTTTCCCACTAGACGGCCCAGACCTAGTGTTTTGGCATGAGTATGGCGTGCAAAAGTATGACATCACTATTTCAACCATCAACGAATGCCTGGAACTAAGAAAAAGCTTAATATAAAGGAAAAAAATCGAGAAGTGTTGGAATTACCCATGATGCTGGAATATACCGGTACTGCGTTTACCCTGGTTGGCTTACTGGGCTAGAGGCCTAGAGCTAGATCACCTAGATGAAATGACATTTGTGTTTGCTACAAAATTGCATCTTCAAAAATTCAATATTCTCATATTAATAAGTGGGTCGCCTGCTGAAGACCACTACTGCCCTAGATGTAATGGACTATCATGACTCCTGCCTTCCGGAACGTAGCCTAAACACTTAAAGCTGTCCGTATCTAGGCCGTGGGTCAAACCAGCTCTGGGTCAAAACAGGCATGGAATATATCTGCTTGGTGAGCCGCGACTGAATTTTTTGAGCATTGGTTTTATGGATTTGCCAGCCGTGATTCCATTTCTTCGAGCCGTGATTCTATTTCACCAAGCCGTGAATTCCACATCTTGGCCATGAAAAGCCCTTTACGAGGCACGAATTTATTTACAAAGTCCATGCACGGGTTACCCAAATCTCTAATTTTACCCTAACACAGACTAAATAGTCAAATGGCAATAATAAAATTTGTCTTTACTGTAAGTTGAGCACATGTTAATGCAGTCTGACCACTTTGACATGACCGCAACTATGCACGATCTTCAACAAAACGTTTAGTTGTTTTGTTTACATTACGATGTTTATGTTTTTTCTGCCGGATATTTGGGCGGGAACAGTAAAGCAATGCGGATTGCGGAAGTTGAAAATTTTATGAAGTGACATGTTTGCAAAGTGCAAAGCGCGATTTTTCAATCAAACAAAAATTTCTGACATTTGAGCCGCGAGATTTCATACCTACTGAAATTATATGATATTAGAGCCGCGATATTTCAGACAAAAATAAGACTTTTCCTGCCCTGGGTTGAAAGGCCACTTGTCGAATGATGATAAATTTTGGAACAGAACTATGCTATCTGAAACCTAACCTTAGATGCGGCGAACATAAAATTACGTAATTTAACGATGCCCGGAAGTCATATTCGATCTGCGGCCTGGTGGTGCACGGCAGGTGGAGGTCAAGGCCGGAAGAGGACAAAGCCTAGTGGTGCACGGCTGATTGGTGTAGGTCCAGAGACGCGGAGAGATCCAAGGCGTTCGATTCAGGGCTTATTGGTGCACAAAATTGGTGGGACACGGCTGTGCTCCCTTAATAAGCATTCATCTGTTGCGTTCTTTCCATTAACGTGTCCTACTTCACTTTACATTAGTTGGTCACTTAGTTCCACACTCAGGATGATGTATGTTTTCGGTGAATTTTCCCGCGCATTTTCACTTTTTTTAAGCTATTGCTGTGCACAGTTGGCGCAATGTAATGAAAATTGATTCTCTTTGCGCACGTGTTCGCGCAATCCCGGCCATCAATTCTACGTCGCGCTGCCGCGCAGGAGCAGTTTGTGGNCATAGTGGCAAAGCAGAGAGTTTTTTAGACTCTCCCTCAAGTTCATTTTTGAGTCCTATAAGTAGACCAGTAAAGTATCCTGGATACAAGCATTATCATACTTAAGAAATTGGCTTGAATCTTGTGTAAATGAGGAAATTAAAAATGAACTGATTCTAAAAAAGCTCTGGTTTGCCACTATGCTTTCAGGTCCTGCTTTCAAATATGCTATGTGTACTGGTTAATTTAATATCCCTCTAAAATTCCACACTGCTAAAGTATGGCGCACGGCGCATTTTTTTACCAACGTAGTACGGCGCACCGCGCAGGTCGTTAAAATGACAAAATAAATTCCCGCGCACCTGGCACATCTTCCTGACCATGGACTTAGTTCAAATGCCACAAACAGCCACATCACTTTTGTGTTGCTTCTTGAAGTTCTTGTTTGGTTTGCAATAATAAGGCTTATTTTGTACAAGTATTAGGTTGGACACAGTTTTTGAGTACTATCATAACTCTCATAATTATAGTCAAGTCTATATCAAGGTACCATCGATTAGAAACCTTATACCTACTTGACTCGGTAACTTAACTTTTAAGTCTACTTTTATGTTTACCCCTCTATAAACTGTGCAATTTAAGCAATAATATTCAGGTGTCATAAAAGTTAGCGATGCAAAAACCAATTACCTGTCCAGTAGGAGCCCCAGGCCAAGTTCCATTATTCCACATTAACAACAAGTGATAACTTTAATCACAAAATTTGCTTTATCGAAACTACCCTGTATTGATATCTCACCTAACACAAAACACAGGAAGAAGCGGATGCGGCAACAAATGCGTCGCCGGTCGAAATGCGGATCCGATCTAAACTCTGAATAATTGTAATATAGTGTTAGCTTTTTTAGCATTCGATAGGCGTTAGACACGTCGCCTATTCTTAACATTGCAGAACATTCATCACTTGCGTGGTCTCGAACACGCAGCTCGCTGCTTCGATTTTGCTTCGCGAATCCTCCCGGCTCCTTGCCGAGTCTGACCAGAAACTGGCGCATGGAGCTGGATTGAACCTGCACCTCTCTGCTCCAACCTGGTAAATCTAAACTGTAGCCACTGAGCCAATCTACGCAGTGGCTAGTTATATATTGAACCACCGATCTGTAACAATGTTCTTTCTCACAGGTGTTAATTATTGAATCTCTGTATATCAACAAAGACCCTGCAAGTGTACTTCGGAAGTTGCGTCAATGTTAATATTTATGTTCACCGAGTTACGAATTCTATCCAATACTCTTTTGAAGAGCCTTGTGCTGCTTATTGATAAGGTACGAAGATTCATTCCTCATGTAATCAATGAACAGACATTAGTGGAAATGAGTTGGCAGACCGAGCTGGCAAATTGAGACATGAGTTTAACCATAGCTTCTTCAATCCTGTTGAATACTTTGACCAAAGACACTGGCTTAACAGATAATTTCTTGCGCGCGAGCTGGCAGACTGGCGCCATTCTGTTGCAGTTACTGGGAAAGGGTCATCACCTACTGACTGTTTGGGTTGATTTATAAATAAATAATAATACTAATAGCGGTTTCAGCGTTTATTTCGCCGATTCTTAACATCGCAGAACATTCACAGCATTTTGCGGTCTCGAACTCACAACTCACTGCCCGCCCGGCCTCCTCGCCGATTCTGACCAGAAATTGGCGCTCAGAGCTGGGATCGAACCCGCGCCTCTCTGCGCCAATCTTGGTACTCTGAACTTTAACCACTGGGCCACCCTGCCAACCACTGGCCACCATACCGCCTGTCCTTTGGTTGCATGCAAAATCCCGACGTTTCGCAGTTGTGCAGGCTCTCTTTCGGCTGCAACATGTGGGCGTAAATGCATACCCACTCAAATTTATATGCCTGACTCATCCCTGTGTCAAACACGTAGGAGTTGCAGTTACTGGGAAAGGGTCATCACCTACTGACTGTTCGGGATGATTTACCCCCTGTCCATTGGTTGCATGCAAGATGTCCACGTTTCGCAGTTGTACAGGCCCTCTTTCGGCTGCAACATGTGGGCGTAAATGCATACCCACTCAAATTTATATGCCTGACTCATCCCTGTGTCAAACACGTAGGCGTGGTTGCATACCTGCGCAGATTCTTTATGTCTGACTGATCCCTGTGTGCCACCTGCAACATGGAAAAAAACTATTGAGAGCTTCCTACTCGAGTGTAGTTATTATAGTGCTGCACGCCAGTACTGAAACAGTCTCTTTTGAGCTTGGGCAAGGGTTCCTCGACCACGCGAATTAGTATTCGCGAATTAATACTGGTAAAGGAGACTGTCAGAAGGAAACGCAGCATTTCATCATTAAAGCAGTCGCTACGTTCCTTGCAAGTACCGGTCGTTTGGAGACACTATGAAGATGAACCATCCTATAGTTGTAAGTGCCATGTTAAAGCGAATGGAGCACTACTCCAGAAAGTCAAACGTTCTGGAACGTCAAACGTCTCATACATTAAAAAGGTATGAGAGCATCTTTATTAACTTCGTAAATATCTCCTAAATTACTGTATGCATTATAGCGTCGCCGCAAGAGCAACATTTCAAAATTAATTTTATTTGATATATTTTTGCGATATTTACTTAGTATCTTGCACGTGCGGTTTTGCGACCATATCGCAGTTACTGAATACACGAAGCAAATTTTGAGCCGTAACTCAGCTATTAACAGCGGCCTTCCGTTGAACGAAAGCAGTCAGCAAACATATCCGTCGTAACTGCACATTAAACGTAGATCGTTTTGAAGATTCGTGCATTTTTAACATAGAATTAATATACCTGGTTTTCTTAAATTTTAAACTTCCTAAAATTAGCAAACGATTTGCACAAAATCGACCATCGGGTCAACCCAACGCTATCGAGTGGATGTAGCATGGATGCTTCCAACCACGTGGTTTACTTAATATCAGGAAGGACTTAAAATTGTTTTAATTTTATCTCACTTAAGTTTCACGAACAAATTTTCCTTGTATCAAAGACGATGATGATCAATTAGATTTAGACAAATAAATATTTTAGTTGACATCAAATGTATTGGGCTTGTTTCATCAGAAGAATTAGACAGCCAATAAACTGATTTCTAAAAGATCGCATAATAATTTTTCATATAAAAATGTAAACATAAATATTGCCTGCCCTTAAATTTGTACGAGCACCAGCGATAGGACTATAACCTAAATCACAAATATTCAATTACAACTTTCTCTTGTAATAAATATCTGATTTCTTTTATGTTACAAAGTCGAACAATAGATACGCGAAGCGAACTATAGAATCAAATTAAAATTTATCTGATGCTTCTATCATATGTTATGGATCGGACTACACCCAGAGTTGACTTGTGTCACATCCTAATCAGCCATGAATTCCATTTGCGATTGAATGCACCATTTTTTTTTATTCATCTTTTTATTCATCTATCGCATCATTCAAGTTATTTAAAGTATTATATCATATCATGTGGAAATGATAGTGCGGCTTCATGGATAAATTGAACAATCATGTGAAATGTACTTAGTGTAAGATGAATGTCATTTACATATGATAATTGAATCCTAGTTAGCGTGTAGAACGTCGGAATGCTAGCAGAGCGAAGTGAATCCCGTAAAGTCTAATTTACTGTCACTTGCTTGCTGATAGACAGCGCTAGCATCATCCCTTTATCAATATTGTAGGATAGCACAGGAAAGAGAACCTTTTACTATCCGCAGTTACATAGATAGGTTTTGAGACCGGATTACACACTGTATTAAAGATGTGCAAATAAATACAACAACTGAAGTTTTTCGATGTAATAACGCCTTAGAATAATATTAATGGTATGAATATATAGGTTACATATATTCTACAGTATTCCAATTGCACTTGATGAGTTTTAATGATGCGTAAGTTGACTAAATAAATATTATTAATAAATCAAAGTTTATGTGTAACCTTGCTAGATGTGAATGAGCCTGCAGCGTTCCTAAAAAATGAGTTGCGGATGTAAGCTGAGGAAATATATATACTTGGTCGCTACAAAAGCTTTACTCCAGTCTTATGAAACTTCTTTGATGTCGTATTAGGTTGCGTTGTATTGTCATGCTTATAATCCGAGGTTTGTTGGTGGATCTCGATCAGATTATTTTATAAGTTGAGAAAGAATAGCAGATGTAACTAAACCTAAGACTTCACCACTAGCAACTCATAAATGTTTATAATGATCGAAGTTGACTGAGCTTGAGCATTAACAACACATGTCTCATAACTGCCTTGGGTTCACGAGATAAATTATTCCAATAGTCTAGTTACGGCTCGAATTTTGCTCTGCATATTTAGTAACTACGATTAGGAAATACAATAACACCCTAACCATAACTATTTTAAGAAATAATGAACTTGCCTATTATTTGAATATCTACCGAGTGTCCACGCCTCTAGGAAAATGAAAGCCAAATGTGAGAAAGCTCATGACGCCATGCGGTGAGCTGTCATCTTTCACGGTTGCATTTTGGTAGTTTGCGTGATGTTGCGACCAGACCAAGTGTCGTGCGTGACAGCCTGTACGTGTCATCCCAATTCATAATAATTAGTCAGGATATTTCACTGAACAAAAATGAGATGACAAAATTTAGAAACTGCACAAAAGTTTATATGAACATGCATACATGAATGAGCTTCATGATCATTCACGCAGCCAACCCTAGCACCACCAGCTTTGAAAATACAGTAAACCAGCCGACACTTATTAATTGTTGCTGGGGCCATGCTTCCTATGATGCTTATCGTAAGATCAATGCCTGAGTTCCGGCATTGATTTGCAATTGCTTGGTTGAGGCTAATATGAGCGTAGGGGGCAAGATAATCTATTGCTTACACTTGTGATGGCAGGGTAACTCGGGCATTGTGCAATGTTGTACTTCCATCTTGTATGTGTACGTCATCATGTTGGTGTAGCGCAGGAATGCATGCACCTAGCATGTATTCAAAAAAGGTGAAAGCATATTTGCATGCAGCGTAAGCATCACTTCAACTCCTTCAAGCACGGTAGTGTCACCGCAAGGGTGACATTTCAAAATTAAATTTAGTTTGATTTTCGTTGGACTGATGACAACATCCATGCGGTTATAACACGATATCACAGCAGTTACTGAATACACGGAGCAAATTCTGAGCCGTAACTTAACTATTACCAGCAGCAATCGGTCGAACGAAAGCAGTCAGCAAACATATCCGTCGTAACTGCAAATTAAACGTGGATCGTTTTGAAGATTTGTGCATTTTAAACTTACAATTGATATACTTCGTTATCTCAAACTTTCAACTTCCGGAATTTGCCAAACGCGTTACACTAAACGACCATCGGGTCAACCCAACGAGACCGAGTGGAAGTAGTTTGGATGCTTCCAACCACGCGGTTTAGTTAAGATCAGGAATGACTCATAATTGTTTGAATATTTCATTACTTAAATTTCGCACACAAACTTTGTTGCATCAATGGAGATGATGATCAATTACATCCGGACAAATTAAAATTTCAGTTGACATAGAATGTATTGGGCTTGTTTCACCAGAAGAATTAGACAGCCAATAAAGCGATTTCTAAAAGATCGACAATTTTGCATTTAAAAATGTAAACATATATATCGCCTGTCCCTAAATTTGTACGAGAACCAGCGATAGGACTAACCTAAATCACAGATATTCAATAACAACTTTCTCTTGTAATAAATGTTTGCCTTCTTTAATGCTACAAAGTCGTATAGTAAATATGCGAACCAAACTATAGTATAAATTTAAAGCTTATTTAATGCTCTTTTA